GGAAGGAAGGAAGGAAGGAGGGAGGAAAAGACAGCTCAGTGCCCCCTGGCAATCAAAACCTGTGTACCCTAGCCCATGATCCCAGATAAAGTGTAGGCGCTCCCCCGATGGTTCCAGCATCCACCAGGGGCAGTGTTGCCCACTTTGGGAAGCTGTGGTACTCTACACCTTGATTTCTTCATCTGTAAAACGGGGGCAATAATCTATCTCAAACCCAAGCCCTGTGCTGTGCAGTCACTTCCGGCTCCCAGCAACCCTCTAGGGTAGAACCGCCTATCGGGTTCCAAGGCTGTCATGTTCAGAGAAGCAGAACTGCTGGTAGGTTCAAACCCCCGAACGTTAGGTTAGCCAGGGCTCCTGGGATAACCTGCCTAATCGGACTGACTGACGATTATATAGATGTGCAGGCATGGAGTGCCCAGACCTGGGCTGGCACCTGGGCGCGTAAATCTCCCTCGGCAGCATCAACGCCGTCTGTACTGCCCCGTGTGGCCCTCACAACAGCCTTTTCACTAAGGAGGCATTGTGTCCCGTCTTACAGACAATTCAAAGATGCCCTGGTGGCGGAAATGGTTAGGTGCTCAACTGCTAACCAAGAAGGCGAGGTTCCACCCCGCCAGTAGCTCAAGAGGAAGAGAGGCCTGACCACCCTTCCCAGGGAGTTTTCCGCCTGGGGAGCCCTCCTCTGTCCTACAGGGGGGCATTTGAGTGAACCCTAGCAGGCCTGGGAAAATAGGTCTGGTGCTCTTCCAGGAGGAAGACACAGGGTTCGTCACGGGCCCAGATGGGATGGATGACAGTGGTAAAGACTTGAAGGAAGAACCTGCCCAATGCCACCCCCTCCCAACAGGAGGGGTGCGGGAGCAAGGCTTCCCTTCGGGGACACTGTCCGCTGCAGCCCCACAGACCCCCTCCCCTGCCTCCTCCACCTTCCCCTCCTCGCAGGGACACCCATTTCCAGCTTCCACCCACCACCTGCTTCCTCAGGCAAGCACGAACCTGAGGTGGGCAATTAAGTCATTTGAAACCATTTTCACAGTGGCTTTCGCCGGAGCAGGAAAGCCATGTTTGTGTCACGCAGATGTGTCTGAGAAGACTTGGCTGTTCTTTTAAAAACATCACTTCAGCGCCAATGAAAAAGATCAGCCAACCTCGGTAATAAATTCTTTGAACATACACACGCAGAAGTTGTCCGCCTGCAAAACAATGTTCCCCGGGCCTTCCCACACGTCTCAGTGTTTTAACAATGTCCCATCTGTTGGTGTCAGCCTGGAGGAGCCGGTCTGTTACCCTCCTGGCCTGCTCATCCCTCCCTGGCTCATTCCTTGACTTCGCC